TCTCTACATTCACCTGAAGTCCCGTTGTATACTGTTACTTCCACGTAAATCATGTGACTATTAGGTAGGGGAGATGGAGAATCCGAAAGCCATGGTAAAATAGAGCAGAGATTGTACTAAACCAAAGTTCTGTAGCTGTAGATTATTGATAACTCCCAAATAAATAAAACTGTATTTTGTAAAGCTCTTGTAAAACCAACTAATCATCCGTGAACAGATGTCTACAAACAGCACATACGTACCGACATTGATAAAGAGGCGAACCATTCATCAGGACAGTCCAGACTGATTGTCGCCTGAAGAGCAAATAATGAACTAGTTAGTTATGCGGACATATTAGTGAACATGAATACGCATCTTTTAAAATCTACCTTTAGAGTTTGTTGGATTTACTGCTTGACATTCGTTATTACGTCGTGTTTTTTGAACTCTAGAAATCACTGTACTAGGTGATTGAGGTCATATTCTGGTGTTTACGAAGACTTAGAATTAAAATATTGCATATGAACAGTGCAAACTATATATTCTAAGCAGATTGAATTTGTAGACCTTTATTTATGCATCTTAATCAACCGGAAATCATTTGTACATATTTATTTGCTTAGTATCTTACTTGGATTATGATAGGAATATTGTCGGGGTGAAACCTGGAGAAAATGAAGATATGAAACTGAAATAACTATGAGTAATGCTGTAAACGCCGCTCTAGAGACCAATGGAATAACAGATTAGCTTTCTTTGTTTTGTTTGTTCGTTCATTTCAATGGTGGATAGGGTAACTTTTCAGGTAAAACGACGATGAGCAACTTTAAGAGTGACTTTAAAGGCCGCGCTTGCAAAAACTGGAATAACCAATTAATCTTCTTTATTTTATGAAAATCTGCCTTTCCAGACAAAATGGAGAACCCTAATTGGTTAAAGGCCACCCTGGCAATCGCTGAATTAACCAACTGCTTTTCAGTGTTTCGTCTAGAAGGGTAGTTTTTTTTATAGATTATAGAAGCTTAATTGACTCTCTTGGGTGGCCTTTAAAGTCACTCCCCGACGACTACTCTCTATCAGTTTACATCTGGTGAACGAAAATGCCTTTTCGAAACATGTTTTGTGGCACTATTTTATAGCTGCCTTTTGGGGTCTTCTTCCTTTGTTTGTATCCATTATTTCCTAACTCCTAATATCGAGACGTAAAATTTATTTGGCTACAAGGCACATTAGTCATTTTAGCGTAAAAGGCTTTCTTGTTTGATTGAGAGTTTTTATTCAGTGGTATAAACGTGTCTGTGTTCAATGAGAGTTGAATACATGCGACATTTGTGAATGTGATGTAAGACAAGTCATTGTCATGTGATAATTCATACATACACCCTTAGTTATAGTAATAGTTTTAATTCATGCAAACAGTTGAAAAAACTCTAACAATCATAACAAATAGTGGAAGTGCAAATCATGTTTGTATATAGGGTTGAAAGACTCGGTAACTATATTAACAGATTGGGAAAATTTACAAGAAACAAAGGTTGACAGTGAATAATGTACAAAATTCAAAGTATTCAATACTATTTGGTGAGATGCTGTGAGATAGGCTGTGATTCAACGAACTGTTATTTGCTACAGTGTAATGTTTGAAGGTCACATGAAAACTTGACCTGTCACAACTGAGAATTTTATTTCGTCTTCAATCCTCACTTCAAATCATATTCAATAGTAGACTTAGAATATGTAGGCTACTTCTCTACATGAAGAAGAATATTTTTGTGTTATTGGTCTTAAAGTAAAAGAAACCTATAAATTTCATTGAAGTAATTGGTTTACTGTCATAAATGAAGACTTCTTAGTTCTAACACATGAATATCCAAGTTAAAAATCGAAATACTTATCCGTAGATTCATGCTAATGCACATGCAGTTGAAGATTAGTTCCAAATTGATGAAAACGATCAAACTATTAGTAGTAGTGACATCAGATATAGTTTGTCTGAAATGAAGTCTGGTCCCAGCTTCTTCAGTAGAGATTTTAGGAAATAGATGTCAAGTTGCAAACTACGATGGTCTATTTTATCATTTTGACTATCTGAGATAGTGGTGGTTTGGCAGACTAGTATTGATACTGAGCGATGATTAAAGGTGAAATGAAAATTTGGATCGCGGCAGAATTCGAACCAGCGATCACCGAGTTTCCGGCCCGATGCTCTGCAAAATGAGCCATGAGGTCCAAACATTTAATAATCATTATTTCTGTCTTAGTCACGTATCATTTGTCACTTCAGTATTAATATTAATTACTGACACTCAGATTACGCAATCAGATGATATAATCTGTCTAGTCAGAAATTTTTTGTTTTATTTTGTTCTGTTCTGTTTTGATGTTCCTTTAACCCAATGCAAATATATAATCGCACATTAACATGAATAAACAAGATCACGCATGCTAAAACAGATGTTACAGCCTAATTTTAAATCACTTTGACAACTAGGCTTAGTTACAAAATGACCTGACTAAAACTGATTTTTGTTCTATGCTGATTTTCATTACAAAACGCATATTCTATTTGTACGTAGTGAATCAATAGTCGAAAAAATTATTTTATTATAAGAAAACATTTTGGACACTGAAATGTCGTCTGTGTTCGTTGTATGTATTATTAATCATCGTTATTAAGCACAAATGACTTCACTATTGTAGGCATCTAACAAAACAGATAACCTGCTGGTTAAGTTAACCGATCAACGAATTTATAGCAAAAATCCATCTTCAACAATGCATATTGGTTATTTTTCGCTTGTTCTTTATTTACTTTAGATATGAAATGAGTTTAGTAGTCATGGTCATGAATGAGTTGATAAATTTGTTAAGAGAGTAGATAAAGGCATAGCATGAGTTGGAGATATTGTAGTTATTCGGTTAGTCACACAGACAGTTGGTATGACCATCACTAGTCCTTCAAGAATACTGAATTCGTTCAAATGAACACTTTCTAAGATAGTATGATGGGAAACATAGCAAATAAAATAAACATCACGTAACAGTAATGCACTACAAATCAGCATGGCAGTGACTGAAACAGGATTACCACCGGGCCATCAGCTGGGCACCGAGCTGGTAACTCAGAAGTCGCTGGTCCTGACATGGCCCAGATTTTCATTCCACCTCCAGTTATCACCCAGTATCACTACAAGTCTGCCAAACCATGGTTATCTGTGGTGGTCAAACTGATAACAGTGAAAAAAAACAGTTAGTGTCATAACCAAAACTAAAACCAGTGAATGAATTTTGAGTTACTGACTGTGCATTCAAAAGGAGAGGTTTTTATTAGTTTGAGAATATTAGTCGACATGAGTATGACTAAAAATTATTGCTTGGATGATATAAAGTCAGGTCTTTCTTTGATTATCCTGAAGTTTAATGTTTTCTGAGTATGTCCTTAAAAATCATCAGACATTTTAATAGCAATAGGTAATTGAAAATAGTCTATTTTAGACGGTCGAAGGTGAACAGCAAGAAGCCGTGCATCTGAGTTTCATGTTTGTTGACACTCGTCAGCAAGTTTCATCTGAAAGCTCATCGAAAGTGATTTCTTTTGAGGGATTTGAACACGCATCAGTGATTGCCACAATCAGAGACGTTACTACTGAGCTAATCAAGCGAATCGAGGCCAAAATACACTCAGTAACGTTTTGCGCACTTGTCCAGTAGCCCGTAAGTCACACCGCTATGTGAGGGCTAGTGATGCTACTACCTGGTTGTCCAAACGTTGGTACGTGGAGCGGGGCTCCAACCCACTAGTTGAAAACCAAACCTCTACACCAGTAAGCTGCAGGTAATTTAGCAGCGACTGTCCTCTTGTAAGACTTGATTACATCTCTCCAAGTTTAAGGTGACGCATAGTTATAACCTTATCGACTTACGACCTAATGTTTAACCTCCAAAGTGATTATTCCTTCATCGATGTTACCATGAGCAAAACTGTGGAATGTTGAAGCTTAACTGCGTCCTACGAAACGGTGGAGAGATGCCTAACAGGAGAGATGTTGAAGTGATCATTTTACTTACCTCCCAACGAATCTATTAACTACCAGCCAGTTAGAGACTTCCATAAAGCAATTTTAAAATCGTATTTCATTTATGCATAATTTGATCGCACAGAGCATTATTAAGGATTATTGCCTAACTTTGTTGACATAATAAAATTTGTGGTGCAAGAACTGATTTCTTTGAACCCTAAGAATAAACCTTGTTATAGTTTCATTTATTTTCCTCTGTGCTCATTCTTAAGTTCTATAAAGAAAAAAATGTTATAACCCGAAACTGCAAATGCATAGAAAATGTTCATTTTGTATTGTATGCATTTTCCCCGATTATTCATTTAATTTCAGACTATTCGAATACTTTTCTTCGCATACTGTTTTCGTAATTACAGCTGTGATTATTGTTTATGTCAATAAGGGGTTTATAATGACTTAATTATTCACTGATCACTTTTCTAATATTAAGTGTCTCTGTATATGATTACTGTTTTTCAGACTCAACACACTGCCATCACTTAGTGCGTTCATACTTGATCTTGTATAGTTCTTAGATTAGGAAAAGCATAAATGCAAATAGACTTATTCAGGTTCATGGTTTTATCTTTGTGGTGATATTTATATGATAAAAATCAGGTTTATGCAAGCATGAGCAATGAACGCTTCAGTTTATTACTGAAAACCGAGAACTCCAAGACACAAGTCAACCTTATACACCAATTACTAATCATATAAATAAGATGTGGGATGAGAGAGTAAGTAGTACAATCTTACATCACGACTCATATTTGATCTTATAGTTCTAGTAGTCAAGATAATGTGTCCAGGCTAGTGAAATACAGCTATTATTTGTACACAGTTGTTACCAGTTAAAATTTATGAGTATAACTTTTTTGATGTACTTTTACATATTTATAACCTGATCTAATTTTTTACACAGATCAAACTCATGACACTTGTCAACCTTGTCAACAAAAGAAGGATATATTTAGTAATGCATACAATCATGTTGAATTCCTCAATACACCTAAAAACCGTCTACATCCTAATCAATCCAGAAGGAGTTTCAATCAAGCCAAAAGGAAGATATTTAGAAATGGTAGTCTTGACAGAATGATGAATTGTAAACAATCATGGTTAAGGCATGAAAGACGAAGGAACAGTTTACCGACGACTAGTCCATCAGATTTTTTCAGCCACTCCTCTGCATTATCAGCTTTTAAACTGGCAACAGATTTTGATAACTTTGTCGAATTCGGTACTCCGATAAAGCGGGCATCATCTTACTTACATTCAGAACAAGAAATACCTGAAAATACTCCAAACAAAAGGCAGAGAACAGAAACTAACACTCAGCAAGTTAATGAGCGGATTCGTAGACCTAAGATATTGACTAGACGTCGAACTAGTAGACTAATTCGTCAACCAAAAGGAAATCAGACTTTACTACCGAATTTATGGCACCCACCAACTTCATCACCATCAAAGAAGACAACCGAACATATTTTAAATGCTGTACATGCTAAAATTGAAGAAACTCGCCGAGAAACTGAAGAAATTCAGAAAAATGTTAAATCATTTCTGGAGACATTACAGTCCCCAGTTAAGAAAGCATCAGATTTTGTTCAGTTTCATCCTGAAGTTAAAGAAAACAATTCATTGTTTCCCTTCTCAGATAAAATTGTTCAAAATGATGATATATGGAATATGATTCACTTATGTGATAATTCTATAGCACCTAATTGGAAAAGTTGGCTGAAAATTTGCCATCCAACGTATGATGAATCTAGTCAGTCTGACAGAATTTGGTCTAAGATCCTGAAATTCAGTGAAATTGATGAACGTTTAACCTCCTATCTTCTTTTATTGAATTGGATAGAAACTAATTCAAATCCAGCTTTAGAAGTAAAGCCAACTTTTGTTAATTTATTCCAACGATTAATTTGTTCAGGTTACTGTGAATATGTGGAGGTATGTAAACAGAATCTATTTAGCAAGATCCCTCTTAAACGAAGTAGCATTTATTAATCCATATTATCTTATCATTTTTTTTTTGACAAACATAATCTGTGATATTTCGCACATAATAAAATGATATATAGTCTTATTGATGTGATAAACAAGCTATGTAGATTTTGTTCTTTTTGTACACGCTTGAGAATAAATTTTTTTTAGTCAACTTCTTTCGCTCACCTTTTTCGAGGTCGTTCACAGTGATTCTCTTCACATATACACAGTGGAAACTGATCCTCATTTCTGCAGATCTACGCCCGGGTTACCTAATGATAAGGGATGTAAATTTTCATTCGTTTTCGAATTCTTGTGGTGAACTTGTATGCAATGTTCTTGACACTCTCAGTCAGAGACAGCTTTAGGTATTTGGAAACTAAGATTATACTTGTCAGTCTTTTGGTGGCATCTACCAATAGTTACCAGTAAATTGATGTGCAATAATCTCATTAATATTTATTAAGCGCTACTAATATCGGAATAAAAGTTATACATGTGCACATTTCGCCATGCAAAGTAGTCCGCTGAAGAAGAGAGAAGAGAAACAGATATGGACCGCCTTCTGACTGAAAACTTCCTACCAATATTTCCTCGTTGCCTAACACAGGATATTCAGATCCTGGGATAGAACCTGTTGAAGTTGTTGTTAGATGTTGCTACAATAAGGGTTATCTGGTTTGGAATTGATGACAGACATCCATTTATGACTATGGTAATAAGAGTAAATTAAAAGTCAGTAGATGAATTGAGGTAGAACGTTTGAATCGGTTTGTGTTCATTGAGAAACTTGAGGTTTCTGAATCCATCCATGTATGAGGCAGTGTAGATGCAATGCTGAAAACGCCTATGATCAGAGACAAATAGCTACGCAATTTAAAGTAAACACAAACTGCTTGGTTATTAGTCGAATATTCAACTAAGATTTCATCATTCAGAAGAAACAGACTGGTTTATGTGTGTGTGTATGTGTTTTAAATGAATAGTAAGTAATGGAGATATTGGAATTAAGTCATGTTAGGCTTTTGGTTCCAATCAACGCAAGCTAGAGAACTTATGCTGCAACTAGCAAACATAAGCCTATGATTAGCATATGAAATTATGTTTCTGTCAGCTGAGAGGTCATTATTCACATTGTATGTAGTACAATTGTCGATCACAGTGAACAGATTGATGTTCCCCTCAACTCTGAATGTCTAATGCAATTTGTCTGTTAATACTCAGTCTAAGGTTTCAATTTCAGAAGCACATTTTGTAGGATTATAAGGTTTTAACGGGATACTTTCATTCATATATTTAAGTTGATTTCTTATCATGTGACTTTCAGCCTTGTCAAATGATTATTTCAGTTAGCTGGAAACTTTAAGTGTCATCTGCATGTAGTAGGAGATCAAGTAAAGTTTGACTAGCCGCCCAATATTTGTAAAGTAGAGCAACTAGTTTTGGTTTTTAAGGGAGAGAACAAATATTCACCGATGGTATTGGCTGATGACTATCACGAAATGACAGGAGTAAGAAAATGTAGACTGCTATGTGTCGTTTCAGTGACTGGATGGTAACATGCTATTAGCTAAGCCTGCAGGTCTTAGGTTCGATCCCTGGCAGAGTCCTGGGTATGCACTGCTAAGTATCATACTACGGTGAAACGCCTGTTAAGTGTCCTAGGTTCTCAAGGTCCTCCAAATGATGTCAATCTATGATGAATCCCACCTTGAGAACCTATCTTGGCTGCAGTTTCCTACTTTTACCTGATCTTAATTTTCAGTATTCGTAACAATGTAATCAGTAGTCAACTGACTTAAACTCTTGGCATTCGTTATCGAGCATTACAATCTCACTTTGTTTTTCAGATGCTTCACATACTGAAACTGTATTATTTACTGCATAAAGTACTGGATACAGTTTATTGTTCATAGTCATATCAAGGTGACTCAGCAACTTTGAAACTCAACTCATACATTTCTGGTCGTCTGCTATCTTTTTTGATAGGGTTATTAAGATATTCCAGGTATTTAGAACATATGCTAAATTATTCCTATTGTATTTATTTGGTGTTGATTCGAGGAAGAGAGTGCGTTAGTTATCACTCTCTCCAGAGAAATAAATCTAAAGGACTGACATCATGTCCATCCTGTTGCATGATTTTGTAAAGGTGCATGCAAAGCTGTGAACAATCTTAGCTACAAAATAGGAATGACGGTGCACCAATTACAGATATATAGGAAATTCTACGGCCCCTGTTACAAAAGAACACGGGGGATTAGAACCAAATAATCCATGTCCTGTGGTTGTGGAGCTACCTTTATATAGTTACGGACGAAAAATAAAATTCAAAATGTAATGCAATATAAAACACTGTTTCACTGTGTGATATATTTGGTAACCAAGCTAAAATCAAATAACTGCAGAACAATTATTCGTATGACTCAGTTATCGGGTTGTGTTAAAATGAATTCTGAACCTCATTCAAGTTTAGGTCTCACACAAGTCATATGTGATGGGTATGAACTTAAATCTAAATGCTAGGATAGCCAGAGTATTAGTTTTTGAGTTGTTTTGGGTATGTTTTGCGGAATTGCGAAGCTAGTGATTTTTATCAGTCACCTCTAACAGCCTATACATCTTTCACTATCCATCGTTTGGTAGATGATGAAGTGATACTTCTACACCTAAACGACTGCTTCTTGAAAAATAGTTGGTGAAAATCCTATGCAATGTCTCTAATCTTATTTAAATCTTTAGAAGTAAATTATATACCACAGTCCTTTTAAGAGGCGTAAAATATTGGTGGTTTTCTAAATAAACAAACGCATACATGTTAGACCATTTCATTCCACTCTCAGTTCTGATTGTTACTTGCGTGACGTCCTAAAGACGCTCCTAAATAATTAGTTCAAAAAGAATTTCGCCAAAAACTAATGTTATTATCAGAAGTGCTGAGAACCAGAGATCGCTGCGAAGCTGATTAGTTCTGTTTGATACTTAGCAGTATGAATCATTAACACTATGTGGTGCAACCTGTGACTAGTATTACTCTTCAGTCTGTCAGTGGGAAGAGTATCACCGATATCTTCTGACTCAGATTCACCCATGTTGTAATGAGACTATTCACTTATGCTACGTGGAAATATATATACTAATTTAGCCATAGATTTTTCACAATGGTCAGGATCTTATTTTAAGATCCAAGATATTCCCCAATAAATGTGATTCGTTAGCAAGTAGATAAATTTTATTCAGTTTGGCAGTGTACGAAAATAGTTTTGCTTAATATAGAGCGATTTTTCAGCAAAATATCCGGTTGTACAGCAACTCATTGTTAGTAAGAAAATAGTGAAAAACAAATTGAAAACTAGGTGAATGTATTTCATGAAACAAAAAATCTGCCAGTTTCTACGATTCATGTTGATGTACGACCATCGTCTAGTGCCAATGAAGAGCTTCTGCGTTCACTTTGGTTTTCATTAGCCTTTAACGGCAGTTCTTTCGAAATAAGTATCGTAGATAAAAATATTCTATAACAAAACTCATACTACTTGTGAGTAGTGTAAAATATTTTTCTTAATTTTCCACGTCCCGCTGATCAATATATGCCTAATATGCATAGTTGACTCACTGGCCCACAATTTCATTCTGAAGAGGTGAACATAATTTTGGATAGCTCCTAAATATAGTTATATTTCCTCTATTCTCATGACTCATACCAATGATCTCCACTTTAGAGTAAATATTCAAGTGCTAGAAAATTTAAAGACAGGAGGGTTGCGTTATACAAACAGCTTACATCCATATTCAGAAGTATACAGGCGTAAAAGTTAGCCAACATTCCACTGAGATATTATATTTCTGCTCATATCACCCGAATCACTGTATTCCAAAAGTAGTCATCAGATGATAATGCATTACCGAATTCACCTTTATATTTTGTGTCAAATTCGACTTCAAGAAGAAAAGAAACCTTTTTGCTATTCACTAAAGTTTTTTATTGCGCCTCACAAGTCTAAAAATTCAGTCACTGTCTCTGTATGTGTGCAGCATTCAATTCTAATAGATTTGAGAGTTTTGTTACAGTGTGTCTGGCTGGATTTCAACTCGATGTCAAATAAATGTGTACGCCAGATAGAAACATTTGTATAACATGAACACAGTTCATATCCTCGATGATTAGTCACAAACACTATCCACCTCATCGCATAACATAAACAAGACAGACATTGAAGTCTGCCAACTAAACAGAGTTGTATGAAATGAAAAAGCATCTCTGCTTCCACTCAACAATCACTTTTGATCGGAAGAACCTTTTACACAGTAGGGAAATAGAGTCGCACTTATTTTTAAACAAAATTAAAGTTTATGCCTTGTGATACTGATTCATAAGATTTTGCCTCAAAGGTTATTCTTTGTAACAACTATATGGATTATTTCGACTAACATTTAAGCCTTTTATTCCTGGTTAGACTTGAAAATAACTGAACAAAGGTAAATAAAGAATATAAGTAATAGGAATTAGTAAGTTTATTACTGAAGAGTTGTTTAAGAAGTAGATCCGTACTGATACCGTTTTAGCCATCGTGATGAAACAAAATCATGCTGCAGGGAGAAACAGTTACTGGCATCATAAAACTGAATTAGTTCTTCAGTTCACAGACAAAATTATGAAGCCGAATATTATCAAATGACTAACTTTACTGCTTCATAAATAATTCAAAGATAATTAGCTACTTCATATAACACTTTCTCATTTTAATCTTATCTTTATTCCTTCTAACTCATTATCTACTGTTTAGGTTTAGATTTTACTCTAAAAGTTTTATCCCTTATCACCTCATGATAAAAAATTGATAAATAAAATTAGGTTGGTGAATCAATATTGCAATAAAAGTTGGTACAGAAGAAGCAGCATGCAATCCATCCTGTTCAACGTTACTTTAACTGATTTATCGGTGGTTGATTAAGCGGTTGTTATCTGAGCGCATACTAACAGATGAGAAAGGTGACATGCGCAGTTGATTTTTGGAGATAAGTTAATCTAGCAGCAATACTCCTTCTGTTCTATACACCAAGATAGAAATACACCATGTCTGTGAACTTTAATCAGGAGTGTTTCTGCTGTAGAAGTGACCAGACATTACAATTATGTACTTCATGCTATATACCCCCAATTTTGTACAACTTTTGGCTGATCTTTGCCTACAACCTTTAATTAACTTATCATTTCTGTTTTTATATCATTGCTAACTTTTCTTTTCCCACTGCTCTGAAGGCTGAACTCTCATTGGTTGTTAGATCTTTTAACCTGAATGTGAACTTCAATGTTATCAAGGTCGTTTACGAATGTGTATATTCAACATCGTTGTCAACTGTTTTGATTGTTATTGAGGCAGTAAAAGCTCTCTGTCAACGGTCCGTCTTCCCTGCTTGTCTTCGCGTCTCAATGGTGTTGATGTTCTGATTAAGAGTCTTTTGGTTTGTGCGTTAGCTTCGTCGACTGTTAGGTCACACTACCGGCTATAGCACTTCAATCCTTCAAGCTATGAAGTATCTATAATACTGCATAGACTGCGGAATTTTGATCAGAATGCCGTTAATGTCTACAATATGAGATAGGAAAGAGAAGAGTGAATTAGTTTCTCATAAAAAGGGAGTTAAGATCTAGTAACCGTGACCAATACTGTCAGACTTTTATGTCTCATAAGTTGCACTGTGTTATTCAGGATACCTACACATATCTGTAACTAGTTATGAAAGGTATTATTCACCTTAGCAGGAGAAAATTATAAAGTACCAGGACCCGAGAAGCTGAAATTCTCTTCATAGATCACTCAGATAGAGTCAGTTATCAAATGTTCCATTTATGGTTAACTTATCATTAAAAAACAATTTGTGTAAATGCGGGGTTTTCCAGGCCTTAGGTGGAAAAGATTCATAGTCAGTGATTCAGAGAAACAGTTGACCTAACTGATTAATAGGGAAAAAGGAACAGAACTGCGAATGGCTGTCTAGAGAAGATGGCAAATCAACAACTGATTCGATTCTTGAACATCTGATCAATTCTGGCTACCAACACAGTTAGCCTTCGAAATTATTTACAACTTCAAAGCAAACAGTTAACATGGAGTACTATTTCACAACTGTTGTACTGTGTGGCATTAGCAAGTCAGCAGCTGAGTATCTGTTCACAGAAGAAGCATGTTCAGTAGTATATCGTGCCACGGCCTTAAACACCATTCGCTGTTTTAGTGGATTGCGACTAGTTGGTTCACGATTATTACCTTCACTATGATCCTTCCTTATTTTTTCAGAATTATCAATGAGAATTTCATCTACCGTGTTTCATATTTAACCTCGTAATCTCACCATATTTAGCATTGTGGTGCAACTCCCTTCCATCTGTAGAAACCGAACTGAACACTATACCAATGACACAGCGCTACCTTTTTATTAAACAGTAGGCTGCTGTATGTGTATTTTTTCAAGTTAACATTTATCATGGGTTGACATCAGTTAGAAGAACACTACAAACTTGGGAGAACTGGACAACCGTTTTGTCCTAGTATGGAACTCCTCAGCAGTGCGCACCCATGACCCCTTTAGGGATCGAACCCGCGACCTTCAGGTTCCGTGGCTAGCACGTTACCATTGAGCTGAAGAGTCCCATATTAAAACGAAACGGCTATCCAGTGCTCCTAGGTTTCCAATGTTCCTGCAATTGGTGTAAATGTATGGTAAATACCAACTAGAAAAAATATCTCTAAACCCCCCACAAAGCTCCAAATTCAAATGTTATATGTTTCTTGTAGATGTAAGGAAGGTTGTATTGGTTTTAAGAAATACATCATCAAATAAAGTATTTTTTCGCTGATTCACTTCCTTCTCACTTACGCGAGTCCATCTCATTTTCTAATACGTCCATAATTCCCATTGTGACGTCAAAAACAAGATATTCAGCAAAGAGGACTCCCTTCAACGAATTTATTCTCAAGCTGTACATGATATATGATATTTAAAGACTGTAATCCATAAGGAAGATTTAACTTAATTAATGGGAAGTTGAAGCAGTAATAATGGTGATTATAATTATAGTGTTGCTAGTTGATGACATCAAGGTTGAATGATAGCGAAAAGGGTTACTTGAGATTTTTAAATCGTTTATAAGGTGCATTCAGATTAAAAAGGGGTAAGAACGTTAATTAAAAAATGCAAGGATCCGATGACGGTTGAGGAACTCAGTGGGTTTCTACGTTACTCCTTAAAACTTGCTTTGGTAAAATGTGAGGTTAACTTTTATGAAAACTGTATTATTCGTAATGAGTATCCAGAATTTCTCTGGCCGACTCTTAGGCCAAACCATATTCACCCGAATTCCAGGACATTGAAGCGTCATGCTTCAAATCGCGCTGATGCTATTAGGTCCCGTATTCTGGGGCTAGAAAGAAATATATCTTTGAGAAGCCATCGTCTTCAAGACTTGTCGAAAGATGAACATAAACAATTTAAGGATTATATCTCTGTTGTCTCAGAGAAGTAGTTTCAATCTGTCGGCTTTGAACAGCTTGACAGCCTAAAACCAGTGGTTATGGAAAGAAAGTTCCCGGACAATCCTGACAAATATGTATTTAATTATTCTTCAGTATTTCCCTCGGAAATCCAGTAAAATCTCTGTCATTGGGTCTTAAGTTCTGCAGCAGCACATCGAAAGTTAACAGACTCTACACTCAGTTTCAGTTTGAAAACCTAAATATTCAGACTTCCGATCTTGGTCCGTCATCACCACAGGATTTCCAACATTTTAAATCCATTGTTCTTGACTGCTGTCACCAGCTCGCTAATTCAAAGTCTAGTTTGAATCATCTGCTGACGAAGGAGCATATAACAAACTCAAGTCGATCACTGACAATCATGATATCATCTTAATTCGTCCTGATACAGGAGGGGGTGTCGTTCTGATGTAACATCGAGAAGGCGTCATTAAAATCCTGTCAATTCTCTCCGATCAAACTAAGTTTGATAAACGTGCAGGTGAGAGGAACAGAACACAACAGATTGAGATCCAACTCACAGGTATCCTGAAGAAAATGAAGGACAGTGCGTTGATTTCCTCTAGTTTGTATAAAGGCATCCAACCCGTTGGTTCGGTAATTTCACTTCTCTATAGATTGCCGAAAATACGTAAAGCAGGACTACCTCTTCGCCCGGTTTTGGAAGTGTCAGGTTCTCCTTATCAGCGGCTAGTTAAAATACTGAAACTAGTCACAAGGCAAGTGTCTGATTGTTCTATTCGTGAGTTTATTGGTAGAATTAGGGATGCTAACACTACCGGTAAAGCTATGGAATAGACAGCTTACTAATTTCTATAGCTGGGTGCCGATCATGAGGAAGAAAAACCTAGTTCACTCACTCTGCTATCAAATACTTAATATTTGTAGCACGAAATGTGTTTAACTTCGACTTGACTTTCTAATAGAGACACTCGTGGAAATCAGCTATCCTGGCCAATTCATCGATAAGAATATGCGAGAAAGTCATGCGAAACCAGTCATCAGCTCATTTTCTAAAAAGACTTCCTTCATGAATCTGGTATTTATAGGTGATGCAGCATCAGATATCCTGAAAAATCGTCTTTCCAGATCAATTAGTAGGACTTTTTCTCAGCCAAACTTCACCTGATATTTACCAGTCGTTAATTATTATCCGTTTGTTTAAAAGACAATATCCCTCGACAGGCCACATCCATGGGTACCTACCGGTTCACCTGCTCCTGTGGAGCAAGGTTCATCGGCTGTAGTCAGAGATTGCTGTCAACATGTATACGAGAACATATTCCGGCCTGGTTTTAATAAGGGTGAAAAGAAATGAATCAGTAGTTCTATCCTTGAACACCTTGACTATCCATGAACTGAAGCCTGACCTTTATATGCAAAAGAAGTATATGCAGTCTTTGTCTCTACCTTGACCTTAATTTATTTTAGTCTTGGCGTGCTTCATTCCCTTTTTTGTTTTTCACTCCCTCCCCCTCCTTTTTTGTCAGATTACTCTTTGTACTCTTATATCGTCATTATCATTTTTATTTTAACATTTAATAGTTTCCGGCGTTATTTCATTTGATCTTCCTAATAGTCGCGACTTTTAGCAAAATATTTCCAATTTACGCCAATTAACTTATCTCACTCATTACCTAATCCTTTGATGATTTATTAATTCTACCACGTTTCCACCACCTTTTTAATCTGAATGCACCTTATAAACGATTTAAAAATCTCAAGTAACCCTTTTCGCTATCATTCAACCTTGATGTCATCAACTAGCAACACTATAATTATAATCACCATTATTACTGCTTCAACTTCCCATTAATTAAGTTAAATCTTCCTTATGGATTACAGTCTTTAAATATCATATATCATGTACAGCTTGAGAATAAATTCGTTGAAGGGAGTCCTCTTTGCTGAATATCTTGTTTTGATATCTCATTTTTGTTTGGCATTTTTTGTCTGCAATAAGGATGTATGAAAAGACCTCCCTGACTGTGAGGCAGCAATATCACTAAAAAGAAATACCTTTCTGTTTAGTGAGAAATATCAGACAGAAGTTTTAATGGTTCTATAATGTTTGGAATAATTTTCGAATCATTTGCGATCCAGTTATTTCTGAATGAAGACCGTGTACAGACTGTGCAGTCCGGTCGCCACACCATCGTCATATATAATCAAGCAGCCTGATATGTAGAAATCTTACTTGGTCAGGGAATTAAAATCATTCTTAAAGCTTCGTCTAAATGAGAAAGAAGAAAAATTTAGTTAGGTGCCTAACCAGTATGGCTTGAAAAATATGTTGCACTGATTTGTAAGATAGAGAAATGGATAAGCTCAGAAATGTATTGGGAGAAAATCGTTATTTGAAAAAGTTAGTGAAGAGAAGTATGCTGAACAGTGAACAAAAAATCTTCCAGAAGTTATGAATTTGAAGCGCAAGGGTTATATTATTTCCTAAGTGCTAAGAAATCGCTTACGAAGAAGCCTAAGAAATACATTTCTTTCTGCTGCCTGAAAAGACTGCTTCACAGGAATATCCGTTCTGCCTTGAAGCAGGAAGAAAGAAGTGCTTCATTTGTCCAAATCCATTTACACATGTAAGTTCAACTGGTGTTGGAGAGCAAGCTATCTCAGATGGACTCGTTCTAGGTGTGCTAAAGAACACCAGTCAGCATAAGTGAGTACGAGACGGGGTGAAGCTTAACCATGAGTAGTTCAACACAAGCACATGATCATTCAGCGGAAACCGTATCATTTTTCTCCATTATTCATCTATTTCTGAATTGACTACACCACTGAGTTCAACTTCGTTTTCTTCAGCTGACCGAAATGACTGTCATTAAAGTGGGAGTTACTTGTGCAGATAAAGCTTTTATGCATATCTGCACTTTCCTGGCCTTGTAGTAAGGCTGATACGATGTAATTATCTTGAACTTTACCAATTTTCATCTTAATCTAATAGTTGAAATTCACCTAAGTATTTTGTCTGCCTATTTCACTTGATGTTTGTAAACTTGAGTTCATTGTTCATGGCATTCTAATAAAACAGTTTGGTACTCTTCCTATAAATCATCGTCAACCGTTTTAATTTAATACTGAATTCACACTCACTGCCCAATCGATTATCGTATCCCTGTGTGTTAATCAGTTTTGATTTTGCTTCCTAACACTCTTTGGTGTCCGATTATTTAACACGTTATACCCATCCCAAACCCTAATTTGTTAAATATACATTCATTACTCCTCTATGGACATTATATGCATCAGAGTTTCCCATTTAACGAATGAGCCTGATGAGACCAGCGAAAATAAGTATTTACCCAAATCAATTGTCTTCTGAATGTTATGATGAAGATTTATCAAGACTTAATATAATCCACCAATCACAACTTTAGCACTATCCACCTCAGGGTGCTGTGCGTTTCACAGTCAGTAATTCACCTAAAAATTCATATGCTTAGCTGAGAAATGAGAAAGTGGACGGTTTGGCTATGGTTGAAGAAAACCGCAGAAACTGGAGAATGAATTTTTTGGTGGTTTTGGATGCAGTGACACTCGAATGTCCACCCATTCATCGTAATTCCTTTTGTGCGATACAAAAGGTGGAATAATGGAAGAACATAAGTCTGTGTGAAAAAACTCCACTAACTGTCGCATCCAATGCATTACAAAAGCAAGATACCCTATTAAGTTTAGTTTGCATCCTCAAATACAAATTAGGAATAGAATAGTAAGATGTGTTGTCTGTCATGGACTTAGACAGGGATGAACATCATTTTGATAGGGGAGTTTTACGAACAGTAAGCTGTAAAAACCTAGTTGTAGGTCGAAAAGTGAGTTTTTTGAATCAAACTGTCTTTTACATAGTGAGGCAGGGCCTAAAACTCACATGGCAAGAACAGTCGATTGCAGTGTAGATGAAAGTGATGATCAAACAACTTTTGAATTACGAAAGACTTCAACATCTATTGCTTTTTTATATAGGACTACAAATGCTCCTAGAGTAAAACTTGAATATTTCAACATACTATTTTGATGTAATAATTCATAAATCTGTGTTGTTGGTCGGGCTTAATTCATCAGCTACTACTGATGCTTCTGTGTAAATACTTTGACATTGCCACTATACTAAGCTTGTTGTTTGATGAGAAATTATAGGTTATCGAATCAAATCCATGCTGTACCTATCACACAATGAGTGGTTATCACAACTCAATGGCTTAATGAATAACAGTCTCATGTTCAGAGCGCTAGGTCTCGGGTTCAAGTCTTAGGGGGACGAGCATCGCTCACTAGCGAGTCCAAAGCAGGACAGAACTCTCCTCCTGGATTCCATAACTAGATATTATCCATCATTAAGATTCCAACAAAATATGCTGAATATTCGAGTGATGATGTTTTGTGAGAACCAACAAGCGTTACTGACATAGGATTTATTTCATACATTTCATTAATGAACTAAAGATGGTTGACCTTATACTGTGGTATTTTGTCCCACCATAGTCTTTGCATCTTTAGATCAGTATAGAATGAATGCCATCCACAAAAGTATAACGATTTATGTTCATTCTACTTTCAACTGATTCAGTTATTCTAGAACTCAAGCAGATAGTCATATTAGTGTTGTTGCTTGTATGATACCATCTCTGATTGGACTGAACTGACTGGTCTTTATTGCCAATAGAGACGTTATAATACAAGCAATAACACTAAAACTACACTCGTCGCACAAGAATTGGCTATCATGGCTCGGTGGTGTAGTGGATAATGCGTTGGTGTCTGAAGGGTCGGTCCCGAGTCCGACTCCCGGTGGGGACAACAACGCTCACTGGGAAGCAGGTACATCCAGCTTACGAGTCCCAAACAGGATGAAATGCACATCCTAGATTCTTCTGCCAGCCACCACCCATCATCACTAGATAGTTATACCTACTTACTTTCTCAAAGCAAATTAAATCCTTTTTCGGAATCAATGTAGTTAAGGCGCTTTTCAAAATGATCATTTCACGCCCACCCACTTTCATGTCACCACATTTAGTTGGGATTTTCCTTTTTTCATATCCCCATCACATACCTTTATGCACCATAATCCCCCTGTCAATTTCTGCTCACCACATTTCCTCACCATTCTTTCCTCTGTGGTCACAGGTGCAGCGATCAATAGGTTATTGACTATGTTTTAGCATCCGTCCCCCTACTTCTGAATCCTACATCCTATCTACCCCAGTTACAATTGTTAGGGAAAAATTAGAACATAAAGGGAAATAATCGTATGCAAATGGTAAGAGAGTTGTTTTGTCATTTGACTATCTGAGATAGCCGTAGTTTGGCAGACTAGTATTTATGCTGGGTGATGATTGAAGGTGAAATGAAAATTTGGACAGCGGTGGGATTCGAACCAGCGACCATCGGTAAACGCATCATGAATCCACATGGTAGTCGGAAAAAAGCCTTGGTGATTGAAGTGGAATAAAAATCTGATTAGAAGTCGGACCTAATAGCTCAGTTGTTAGAGCCCTGGGTCGGTAACCCGATGGCGCTGGCTCGAATCCGGCTGCGGTCTGAATTTTCATTTCACCTTCAATTATCGTCTAGTATATAGTTGTTTTAATTTTTGAAAAAATTAGACTTTCTTGCCTCAGTTAAATAAGTTTCAAACAGTCGTTTAACAAATAATTAGAAGGGGAATTTAGCCCAGATTTGTTGACGTTACTTTTGAGAATGAGTGAACAGTTAGTGGTGTTTAAAATTTTCCTTTTAGAAAGTGAATATCGACAAGGTATTTGGGAACCAGACTAAATTTCAACTATTGACCGGGATATTACAAAGACCGTCATTGCAGTATGTGGTCTGCAGTGTCGAATTTATTGGTCTGTGAAAAAATCTCACGAGTTCTTTCTGAGAACTAATATAAGGGGGAGGGGGGGGGAATAACACACTTGAATACAGAAAACATTTCAACTAGTCACAATACTTATGAGGTTATCATGTGCAATACTCTTGATTTCTTTATTCTTCTTACACTTTAAACATAATCACAGGCTTCCTTAGCTTAGCTATCGATGATTAGCCGATTGCATCAGCTCCGGTCAGTAGTCGAGTCTTGTAGCTCAGTTGGTAGAGCACTGGGCAAGAAACTCAGTGGTCACTGTTGCGAATCCCATCGCGGTCCAAATTTTAATTTCACTCTCGATTATCACCCATTAATAACTTTTATACTGATATACTGTACTGACAGTCTCATGCAAGCAATAAAATCTTTTTAGAAAAAAGTTTGGACCAGGAGCTGATGCAGTCGCCTAATTTTAGTTCAGAATTCATGTTCTGTGCAAGGTGTTTAAATTTATCTTAAAGGGTCCTATCATGTAAGATTATTTCAAGCAGTTCATGAGAAAAGCATACTTTTTTCATATTGATACCTAAATTTAGCCAACTTTAAGGATATCAGTGGGAAATACTATCGGACATTTGTAAAGAATACGGCCTTTTATATTGCTGCCAACTAATGGGTTGCAATTAGCCATAGCTTTTTGCCCTATTAACTTCAAAAGTCCGTCTTTAAGGTGATTATTTTGCGTGGCTTGAACCACTGGTAAGGTGTAGATGCACTGATTTCCAAGATGATTTTATGGAAAAAAACACTGCCTAAATAAACATCGGAGAGTCGGTAATACGGGACACATATTTCAACCCCATTGAATTGTTAGTACTATATTCTGTCAAGGGAACCCAGAAATGAAACATTTGCAGCGTTTGAAATTAAACAAGTGATGTTTGACCAGATTCTCAGTGAATTAAAGTTCAGCCTTTGGCTCATCCTAAATTCATTCTTCCCTGCTAGGTTGACATAGTCTTCATTATTAGCAGCCACGAAATAATTAAGATAAGAAGTTATGACCCGTTATACCAAAATCCTTCATTGGGACCGGATAACCATAATTTTGGTGGCAAAGATTGTTGAAAGCATCTGCCAGAGAAAAACTAGCTATTCATTGCAGCTTGATTTCTAGGAGACTTGCGAATAATCATAGTTTGCAAATAGTCGTGCAGTTTTTATGTATGTTGAAATGATAAAAGTATTATCCGCTTAATTGAAGTATCCAATAATTCAGAGAAAAAATGTGCAAACTATAGATCAAAACATTTAGGTTTTTTGAAAGGATCTGAATTTTTTCCTCTTGGTGTTTACCTCCAAGGGAGGATAGCAAAGTCTATTTAGTAGTAGTAGTAGTAGTATACTGAATGGATAGCACAATTGTTAGGCTTATCTTTAAGTAAGTATAATCTTATTTGATGGTCCTTAAAGGAAAGCAAGTCAGTTAACACCTTCGTCCATCTACAAAAAACTTAGTCAATTGGTTAAGAAGAAATCTGTATCTGTCTTTAGCTGGTCACTAATTCAAGTATTGAATTTACACACCGGATGAATACTCACAGTCGCTTGATTCGGCATAGTCATCAACTTCCACATGAACTCTTTATTTATTGCTTATCACTTATGGCTATTTTATGCTAGCTTTTGTTTCTTTTGCCCATATTGTTTAACTTCAAGTCACCAATATTAGAAGACTCATTTTATAATCGTAAACACTATATAACTTGACAACTCAACCGAAGAGTTTACAAACTGGAACTAAACTATAACTTACACAGAGACTGATTTTACAGTGCCGTTTGGCAGAGGGCCAGTGAATAGTACCCAAAACCACAGTTAGGTCAAGAAGAAATGACCGGCATTACATTAAAAGCTGTAAAAACAGTAAATCATACCGGGAGTTAAAATTGTAGAAAATTCAATATCTTTATGTTCGAAAAATATTTGAGAGAAAAGTGTTTGTATTTAGCACTACTTTTAGGAAGGCTATGGGTTATGCAGCTCATGGAATGATTTTATAACATTACTTGGTCATTCGGCATATTACAGACGAGTTATCAATTACAGTTCTTCAGTATATGAATATAAATATGGCTGGTTTACGGAACACTAAGTAGTTGTTTATCATCCACATACTTCCCATTTGTTCAAAGTTAGGACAGTACGTCTTATCGCTTGATAATTCGCTTGGCTTTAGTACTGGATGAGTCAGATTTGTTGAAATCTTTAGAGAAATTCAACTCCTTCAAGTTCATGCTTGGACCTTACTACTACCAAGAAACATACCTGGGAATTCCCATCGAAGATTAACAAACAGTTAACATTAAATGAACGTTTTTCAGTTGTCCATTTTCTTATAATCATGTGGTTTTTTACAGCAATGAGTATTTGTGGTAATCCGTGTTACTTTAAATCGATCATAATTTACCCACTAAGTAAAGAATTTTCCAATGTTCATTTGCACTGAATGAATTCAAACCAACTCATAGGCGGTGATAAAAACAGTTAGAAGGAATGTAGTTGAACCTAACGAAAAGGCAGTCCTCCATAACTGCTACATTCGCAGCTCCATTATATTCTACTCAAATAATTATTAGCCACTTCAGTTTCAGATGAGTAGGCCGGTTGAAGTGAATGTTAAAACCATTCAGTCTGGTGACAAAACAAAGAATTTTTTGAGGCATTTTGCCATGCCGACACATCAGAAGTGACATTTCCTAATATTTTTCAAACTGGAAACAAAGCACAAGAAATAGACGAGATTATCTGTCTTCTAAGTCAGTTTGTTACTAAAAATGAAGTTAGTATATGTTTAAGTTTGTTTGTCAATCGTTACGGTGATTCATTGTTTCAATTTCACTACAAACTTACTCTGCATCTGAAAATGTACAAAATTGTCACATCGTTCTTGATGTTGGTGGCTCACAGTGGAATCCAGGATGCACGTTTCTTTTTATCTGGGACTCGTCAGCTGGATGTATCCACAACCCAGTGAGTAATGTTGTTCCCACTGACTTGTGCCCAATACCCTTCGCTTCAAACGTCACATCATTCACTTTTCTCATCTCATTATACAACCTACGAAGTGAAATGAATAGACAATTAGTGAAGTTTTCGTAATGATATGGAAGAAAGCTGATTTCATGTTTCGTGATTTGTCTTTACACTGGAAAAGAAGTGTATAAACAGTGTCGTCATGAAAAGTTGAATTTCTATAGAAAAACAATAAGAAAAACAACAACAACACAGAATGGTAGAAAAATCAATTTTTATATTTAACTTTGAAAATCTTACAACATAGTTTAAGACAAGTTTCCAACACGCATAAAGTTTTGAATTCGTCAAATCAATGTAACCACTTCCATCACTGTCACAATAACTGAAAACCTTCTGTACATCTTTAATAGAGAATGAAGAACATCCATGTTTTTTCATGTAGTTTTTAAATTCCTTTTTGCTAATTAGTCCATCTTTATTTTTATCGGCTTTACTGAATACTTCCCGCCAGAATGCATCACTAATGAATAAGAAAGTGATAAGAGGGCATTTGACATAATATTTGAACATGAAATTTCTGGAGTGAAATATTTTTATCATAAATACATTAGGAGATAAGAAACACACTTAAACTTCTCACTTGCGTATATCGATGAAATATTTATGATTGATTTCAGGTTGGCATTCATCATAGACCCACATCAATTGGAGAACCATTGGAAACCTAGGAGCACTGACTAGCTGTTTTGTCTCAACGTGGGACTCCTCAGCAGTGTGAGCCCGTGACCACGTCAGGGATCGAAACCAAGATTTTCGGCTCAGCGGCCAGCACGTTACCACTAAGCCAATGAATCGGAATCTAACGGTCCATATTTCCTACTTATATGCTCGTTATTGGCTTGCTTAGATGGATGATCCCCAAAGTTATAATGCGAAGTCATGACCGGTTGCGCCAACCAAGTCGCATATGAGGACAAAAATAGTACGGCTGTATTCGAAGGAGGTCGTGCTTTACCAGGAACTGACAGAAGTTGGAAGAGTAGACCGTTGGATCCCAACCCCGTCACTCAGTGGTAACGGGTTGGTCGCGGAGCCTGAAAGTTCCGGGTTCGGCCTCTGGTGAGGTAACGGGTGCGCACTGCTGAGGACTCCCATATCAGGACGAAGAAGCAGCCCAGTGCTCTCAGGTGTCCAGTGTTTTGTCTTACTGGTTTTGACCCATGATGAATACTAACCTGAGATCAATAAATAAATACCAACAGTCCTCCAAATTAAATATTTCTTATCTTGTGTAGTAGTTTGTTACTTCACGTTGTCTATCCCATCAAGTTATTGCGTCACTATTAGCATACGCGCTGTTGTGTGGATGCCTTCCCATTGCTTGTCACTGCAGTTTGATAGGAATGATAGATATCAGATAACAGCGAAATCTAGGATGCACGTTTCATCCCATTTGAGACTCGTCAGCTGGATTCGCCTACTTCTTGCTGAGTTATGCTTCTCCCTATGAGGCTGAAACTCTACACCAAACGCCAGAAGGTTGTTCACTGAGATACTGAGTTATGACAGTCATCCCTTGTGAGATGGCCACAGCTTGACTTCATGGCTTTTAATTTTCTGTTTTTGAAGGATTACTGGGAGGCAGACATATCCCACGGATGATTGTCAAAGTGGACGAAACGTGTGTTCTAGATTCTGCTTCTAACGGTTATCTATCATTATTATTTTTTATTTTACATTAACTAGATTTTCAACTTTGTCATTATGACCAATTACTCTTGAACAAGTGTGAGTAAGGTTTTCGAATGACTTTCTATTTTCTAAACCAAAACGTCCTGTGTTCTAGGAGTTGAGAACTCTAACGCATAGAGCAGACAATAGGAAGATTGAGAATTTTTTCCCTATTGCAATCCGATGTGTATATAAATGAACAATTTCAAATAAAGTTCAGATAGATATCTAATGGTAAACAGTTTTCAATAGTCCTTTTACCAAAGTAATTTTCTGAAGGAAATATTTTTGAATCGATTAAATCCTCTATGCGTTTTTAATTCAGCACCAATTTTGCACATACTAGTTCCTTCTAAAGTACACTTTGAAGCAATTAACATCGTGTTAACCTCATATTAAGTGGTAAATCGCTACTGATAGGAATCTACATTAAGCTGTTCAACTAGAGTCAAAATAGAAACCAGATGTTTCGAGCTCATTTACCCGTATTCCATTAGTTGAAAATTAATTTTTAATAACACACAGTCCTTATTCTGAAGCTGTATGAAAAATTTACGCTTTTTATGTTGATCGGTTATCTCCTGATGGCCGTATAACCCTCAAATATAAAGCGGAAATCTGTGTTGCATCATAAACTGACACGCATAGGAGTACTTTCGTTTCTAAAGTTTTAGCATCGTAAGACAACAGAGAAATTATTGGATATTTGAGAAATACTTTTATGCAACCTCAAACATTTTTAGGACTGCTAATAAAACCATTGTGGACAATTAGTTGCATGGGAAACGGTGTAAGGATAATGTTATTTCATATAAATTTTATTATTAGATGATGTGAACTGAAACAGCTCAAAATATAGAATACTTCATTGAATATCCACTTTCCCTTGGTTATTTACCTTATGCGAAGACTAGACAACCTATATTATTCTTTAGGTGTGTGGAATAAATAATACGGAGTGAAAATTTCCTGCATAGAGTATAATAGACTACTGTTGTTCATGAATACGTGAAAACTGCTTCACCTCTCTATGATAACTGTATTTATTCACTTGATACTAAGAAAACAACTAGTGTGACTGATCAACCCTCGTATGTATATATTTGGATTGCTCTTTACGTTTGAAAGTATATCTTCCAAATATGAGTACGAGTCAACAGAAAGAAAACTTATGATACATACAACATTATGAGAAAATTTCGTCTTTTTATTTCCTTTGAATTTGTTATCGTATCCTAGTGCAATGAGTAACGTGAATGAGACTTAAAGCTGGATACTCTGACTTGCGTCAAGTCATTTCATTGAAACTTTAGCCATTTTGGTGTATTATTCTTAACTATACAACAAGCATGAATTAAATCCCTTTCTATTACAGAATAGACAATTCATATGCCTCAGTATGATGATATTTGAAATCATTATAACACTTGAAATAGTCTTTGGTTGCTAACTACAATATTACACGAGAAAAAACAAACTGAATTTAAGACTTCTGTATAGCCAGTGTGAAGTGTTCACCTACATAGCATGAGAGACAAATCCGGAGTAAATGTGTATCTTTTATATTAGTGTAAATACCACTAAGGGATTGATTCAAAGCTTATTGTGAAGTCTTAATTCAGCTTTAATATGTTTAATGCGTTCCCTCCTATCTGGGACCCTTCAGATGAGTGTACCTGCATCCCAGTGAGATTAGAACGCCAAGGTGGATCGATTCAAATGTCAAAATGTTATCCACTGGGCCACTGAGGCACGAAAACCACTTGTGTAAAGGGTCTCAACTGTTATTTCCTGTTGCTACACAGGGTCTAGAATTCATAAACGCTCAACCGGGTGGCTGAAAAAGTCGCATGCAGACTAAGAGCAGTAGTCAGCTGACGTCGCTGGCAGAGATTAAGCGATTTTTATCTCCAGTCTTCTGATTTCACTGATATTCAAGGTCACTAAAGTAATATTCAGTGTGAGCGCCTAGCCTGATAATTTGAAATACTTATCTTTTGCAGTTGTTAAATTCTTATTTAACACGCGTTATTATGAAGGTGATGTATCTAAGTATAAGTTTTTATTGACAGTCTAATCTATCTATTAAACTTCTAGTCATTAACACTAATTTCATTTATTTTATTCACTATCCTGTTAGTTTTCATAACTGTGCCTGACATAAATATAAAAATAGTATCAGTGAAACACTCTAAGTCTGTCATACCTAAAAATCTGAATAACTATATCAGCATTCTTTCTTTACACAAAACAAACCAAAGTATCTGTTTATATAAGAGTTAATATGTTGGTATGTTGGAAATCACAGTCGATTGGCTGAGTCACTATCGTCTTCTATCGCTGGATAAAAGTGGACTGGTTGTGGTCTTTAAATAGACAGCATTAGTAACAAGTTTCGTGTGTTGGCAGTTGGGCTTCATTTAGTAATTGGGTTGCCTTAATGGCCACCCTAGCAACTGTTAAGATAGCCAATCATATTCCTGTTGAAATATAGAAACCTGATTTTTCGTATTGACAGTTGCTAGTGTGGACTTTAACGTCAGTCTAGTAATTCCAGTTTATTTTGAACAGTATCCTAACCGGTATTTAAGACAAAGATAAGATAAAAATAACAAAATCCACCAAAATATTGGAGGCTGAGGACATTAAAGGTCACCCTAGCAACAACTAAAATAACCAATCAAACTACTGTATTTTATGAAAATCAGCCTTTCCAGGTGAAATGAAGAAATTTATGTGGTTATTTGACCTTTTTAGAGTGGCCTTCAAAATCAACCAGAGTAGATCTGAGTGAGGTATGCATTAAAGGCCATTCTAGCAACTGCTGAAATGACCAATAAGGCTTTGAAATAAATGTAATTGGCTATTTCATCAGTTGCTAGGGTGGTCTTTAAAGTCACCCTGAATGACCAAGTCTACTAATTTAAGTTCTGTCAAGATTAGGAGTCACTTTCAATAAGAGTGGTTGTAACTTTGGTACATCAACTACAAATGAAGAACGAATAAGATTTGACAAGAATAAAGTCGGTCTAAAGCTTGAGCGGTTAATCTTGCACTGATAAGGCTTCTTATGCTAATGACCGGTTGGAAACAATGATAAATAGGTCTGTGTAAACACTGTTATGTCCATAGAAATTTCAGCTGAATACTATATGTACAGTTAGGCATAACAGAACTAGCCAAACGACATAGTTTAGCGGAAAATACTTTCAGTAAAGTTGGCACTCTTATTAGCGGACACACTCATACATACAAAACATAACCAGTATGCTAGCCCAACATGTAGTTGTTTAACTGTTAATTTGAAGTTAGCTTTTTTTCAGTTACTAAGGGAAACAGATAAAGTAGACACCTTCTTGTCTTTCCTCATGGACATGTTTTCGTTACCTATTGATAACAATTAATTAATGCACCTGTCTTACAACAATCAGACAATTTACCTAAGCACTATAAAACGAGTGTTCCTACGCCAAACTTCGTACCAAGGAGGAAAATCAGTTATTGGCTGGCATACTACATATGTCAATAAGTGGTTGCATGAGACTGCTTGCAGTTGAATAAAACTAGTGAGATAAGTCACATTTCAAAAGAAGTAATAGAATCCACTCAGGGTGAAGTACAAAAAAGAAATTCATTTCAGTTTGGCTATTCAAGTTAAGTAAGTCCACAAACCAATGGTAAATGCCATCTTATTGCAGCGCATAGGTTTAGCTCACTATACAATTTTCATTTACATAAGGATTACGGATCGTGATAACCGTTTACAGTTCATCAAGTACACTTACCTGAAAACTGTCAACTGGATCTTGTAAGAAATATTTAGCGAACTAAATTCTCCTCTTTAAGTCATACAAGTGTTTTAATGAAGAAATTATTATTCTCAAATAATATGACCATTATGTGTGTATTTCAATGAAGCTAACCCCGGGAATGTTAAATACTTTGAGATTAGATAATACTATAAGTCGAAAAAACTTAGATTACAGTTATCACCAGTATATGGACTATGTAACTGGTTCCAAAATTAACTAGATGGGAAAACTCTATTTAACAAAGTGGTCTTCACATCTACTTAGAATAGTTGTAGTTGTTGGCGTATCTGGATGGGGGTCGAAGTTCAGTCTACCCTTAGTTGAGTCTTGTAACTCGATTTTTAGAGCCTAAGGTCAGTAAGTTAGGAGCTGCTCTTAAAAATTCTACCACCAATCAGATTTTTCGTCAGCTCCAATCACCATTCTGAAACACAAATAGCAGTTTGTTAACAAAGGTTATCGCGAACAGTCTAATTCACAGTTTTCAGTTTTTCAGTGGGGACATTTATCACAATTCGATTTTAATCAATTAACTCCAAATGTTGGTTATCAGTGGAAGCATATTATATTCTATTTCTATTTCGTTATTAACATACACTAGTAACATTAGTTTTGATGACTAGCAATGGAATTCTGGACGCTTGTTTCGTCCCATTTGGGACTCGTAAACTAAGTGCATCTGCATCCCAGGAAATGGTGTTGTTCCTTCTGAAATTAGAACCCATTGCCCATCGCTCCAAACACCTAGATGTTATTCACTAGGCCACTGAGGCAAGAGAACTACTACTTGTGTAAAGGCGATTGGTTGTTGTTATTCGTAATTTCCTGATGCTATAGTTGGCTTAGCTTTTCCACCTCTTCGGCAGATGCATAGGAACGCACGTCCTAGATTTCACGGCTAGTCATTTTATATATCTGGTGGTATCGAGACATCCACATAGGAGCGCATATGCCGATGGAGGCAGAGCAATTCTGCACTGGTTACGCTTATTGGGAAAACACTTATTTTACTTAGTTTCCATTTGTTTTGAAACACTGGAATGGACCTTGTTGATTGAAATTTATGACACTACTCGGATAACAACACTGTGACGGTTATATTTTCGTAGTGAAAGTGCTGCTTTTACTCTTGAGTAAGTGAATATATGAGACTAGAGGGTGTGATGAGGAATTTTAGTCCATTAATTACACTAAGGCGTATCTGCAACCGCGACGGAACTGTCGTCCCCTATGAGATTTGAACCCAGGGCATCCAGTGGTGCTGTTGGTGAATGACGTCACCACCGAGCTATTTCGACTGTGACTGATCTCCTGGGGGAAGGGATTAGATACATTTATTGGTTGCGGGACAGCAACCAATTTGATAAGTGTTGATTAAATTCTATCAATCACTTCCGAATGTGGTCGCTGAATTGGGAGACTCACCACTGCGATTCATGGCTTCATGCCGATTACCTTCAATCAACTGGCATTCTTCAAAATGCATCCTAGATGGTTAGCTCCCTAGCTTGGTGGCCAGATTGGGAAAAATGATCGATAGAATTCAATCACCATTCAGGACCAGACGGTATGAAGTTGATTGCTCTCCACTAACCATTCAGTCAAATCAAATTAAGTTAAGGGGTACGAAATTCTGTAGGAATATTGCTTAGTGAAAAAAAATTTTTCAACAACTTGGTGAAACAAAACCAACCAATGCATACAATGGCTTGGTGCACAAATATCAACTTCCAGTCCACTGATAAGTAGAAATCTAACCGTGACGTCTATTATGTTGATATCAAAGGTATCGGAGTAAATGCTCAGGGGTTATATCAACTATGATGACGAAGATTTAAAAACCACTAGTCAGCAAGGCCCATCTGCAACGTCGGTAAGACTGACGTCTGGCCTGAGGATCGGACCCACACCACCCACCTATGCACTCACCTACGTTATAACTGAGCTATCCGGGACGCAACTAAACTCCCGTAGAACTGGGGTTACATACATTAAGTGGTCACGGAGAGCAACAAATTTCACATTGTCTAGTCCTGAGTGGAGACCGAATTCTATCGATCATATTTGCAATATGGCCACCAAGCCAGGACGTTGAACACCGTGGTGTACATTGATAGATATCAGTTGGTTGAAGGCAGTCCACAAGAAGCCCTGGACGTGTGGAAAGGAAGTTTGACGTTTTGCTTTATTGTTTACAATTTTTCACCAGTGAAATGTCTTCATAAACGTGAGCTAAGCAAAACAATGAGAATTTATTTGCTACCACAAATATTTATTTAGCTCAGCTCAAAAACCTCAGAAATGTAAATAGGTTTTGTAAAATGATTGGTAGAATTTGGTCACCATTCAGGACCAGAATTTACGAAATCGATTGCTCTCCACTAACCATTCAGTCAAATCGATTCAAGTTAAGGGGTAATGTCGGAATAAATGTTCGAATTTCAGGTCAGTCATGATGCTTGGTTGTACTATTAAAATAACAAAATAGGTCGAAATCAATCTAGTCACCGCAGAAAACATAGACAAGACTAAAATCAAGTTTTACCTTGCAATTCACCAAAAAATATTAGAAAGGTATGATCAGATATGGAATTTTTGCTGTATTGATTCTAAGTATAATGTCTATGAATTCATTTACACGCTTATAATAGTTTAGATACTGAAGTATTGGTTATTGTTTGGTGTAATAACGTGAGTTGAAAGACAGATATCTTGTGACAGACCTCAACGCCATTTTAATTCAGTAAGTTCTCGGGAAACTGGTCATTTGAAAACAGTTTGCATCACTAATTTATGCTAACCACAGAGGTGTTGAGAAGTAGGTATCTACTTGCACTTTATGAGATTATCCTGGATGTGTGTTTTAAAATTCTTCTCACATCGAACCTTAGGATAAACAGTAAGCATGCTAGCGTCTGAAACATGAGTTATTCTATTGTAGTTATTTTAACTTGTATAATTCTCTCTGCCACTACTATATCATAGAGTGCACTACCTGCTATTAGAATACTCTGTCTTTTCTACCCAGAGACAGTTTTACTCTAGTTTTTGGCTCAGTTCCCAGTTCTGGGCGGGATTTCATCTACTTGGAAGTCATTATCATCCTCTCAGAGAACAAAAAACATCCAAGCACTGCAAATACATGAAAAAGTACTCCTGCTAGAGTACACTGTTATCAGGATACTTTATGTCTCTTCTACACACTGTAAGTTGATAGTAAGTTCCAGGAGCATCTATAAGAAAATTAAGACAGTCTTCACTAGCATCTTTTATCCAAGTGCTTTAAGTGGCTCCTTATTTTCAGCAACTCTTTAAGTGATATAACTTTCGATGAAAATAAATTTTATACTAGCCAACAGTGTGAAACATTGTGAGTAGTAAAGTGATTGTACTTTGAGAAAAGTTATTAATTTGCCGCACGCAAAAAACTTACTCAAAATCCAAATTATTGTTCATATTTGTCCAGTGATAATCTTTGTGTATGAAAATTCCAAATATAATGTGTGAATACCTGCGTAGTTGGAAATAGTTGAAGTAAGAATATTATTTATTGAACTTATAGGAAAGATAGTATATCTTGGTATGTCGAAAAACTTCATGATTGCTGATATCCCTAGTCTTAAATACTTTTATTTCACCTAATTATGCAATAGAAGCTTCAACAGCGATTAAGTTATCCGAAATCTGCTTAGGGTGTGATATCGAGACTCAGTATACATTTTTTAAAGAGTGCACATACAGTAACAAAGATCCCTTCCAGAATATTTACGGGCAGTTCTTATTTTGCAAATCAGGAACAATTGTACGAAGAATGTCAATAGTAGTCCACATCAAGTATGAGGTTTACCTCTTCTGAGAGAAAAGCTCTAACTTATAATCGCTTAACATTTTCAGCCTTTAGGGACACTTTATGCACCAGCTGTTTAAAATGTTTAATTCGTCAACACGAAATATAGCATACCATGTTAACTTAAATTAGTGACTATTACAACTAACCTGGTCAATGAGTAAAATATGACGTAATATTCCAGTAGATATGCGTTACTGTCTATCAAATCACTTTTATACTTATTCTCTTATCAATCTACTAACTGTTGAATGACTTCATATAGGTTACACACGTGTATGCATGTGAGTTTGTGTTTATATCTTTCTACATTATTTTTCACTCACCCATTAGCAAAACAGCACAGAAAGTGACAGTCCACACAAACTTCTCCAGGCTGTCCGTCATACTATTCTGCGCTACACTGAGAACACAGTAATTATATATGTACAGAATAGTAAAACAAGACTCAACAGTAACAACTGAATATATAAACTTGAAAGTTTTCAGCACTATGATCAGTTCACTGACTGACTGATTGTTTAGAATATGAAAGCAGCAAGTTACTACACCCCTTATTGACTAATTTTTTCAAACCATAAAATTACTGACTGGAAATCAGCAGGATGAAGAGAAAATCTTTTTGAAGCCAAAAAAGTTGAATTCCTATACAGCTTTAATTCTTTTCGAGTGCATTAAGAAAATAACTATCTTAGAAACAGAATTATTTTTGTGTCTATCAGTTTGCCAGTTGTGTTACGAATAACTTGAGTTGGAACCAGATGATCTACCTTAGTAGCTTAATTGATGCGAAGAATAAAATCATTTATTTCTCATTAGTACGATGGCTAATAGTGAAAATATGTTCACCAGTAGTTCTATGTAAGCCACCGGATGGAATTCTACAGTACTTATCCTGAAAGAAGCGATTCAAATCTGAAAACAAGTAAACTATTTCATTTTCCGTTTACAAAAGTAGTAGCCAAGTTACCTTCCTTTACCAGTACATTTAACTGAAACTGGTTGTAGGTCGTTAGAAAACTAACACGAATGAAAATTTTCCATTCAAGGTGTTTGGGTCAGAGGTGGCTCTATCAGGCTCATGTATCTAGATGCACTTCCCTTCAGTGTTCAAATAAAAGCTTTAAACTCTCTTCTGAAAACAATTTTATTTTTCATGTATCTGAATTATGAACCTTTAGTGAACCTTACAGGGACTGAAATGCAACTAAGGCTAAAATAAATAAATTTCTATCCCTTCCTATTCATATGGTTCCTATTAACTTCATTGACCTTTTTCGTAAATTTTCACATAAATAGTTCGACAAGTCCATATGTGATCAGATTGTTCGAAATGTATAGCACTAATACATCACATGTTTCAGATAATCTTCGTCTTCTCATTACGCTGTTTAAATTGTAATATAAGTTTGTTTTGTATCGCGTACTTTTGTCGGTTAGGCAACAAGACTCAGTGAGTAATAATGACCTTGTTAGCAAGAAATCGTCTTATTTTAAATTTATCTGATGAGGTTATTGGTTAAATTTTAACTTATTTCTTAAATACCCAGTCCATGTTTGTTACGAATGTTCTGAAGTAACTGTGACATACATCGTGACAAACACAAAGACGTTTTGTTCTGCTTTTCTAAACACGCTGGGATCATATTTAAACCTACCTATCTGTAATTGGTTTTTGTTTATTATTTAGATGTTATTGTTCATCAGTGATTCTAACGTCAATCAGCTGGTTGTCATCAGCCATGGTCACTCAGTCAACCCTCATCAGTATAGTCAACCAGACTGTGCTTTTAGCTTACGAATATTTTTCTGTTCATCTAAAAAGTATAACTAAGTACCCTTGTGTAAAGAAACCCGATTAGAAAGTAGCAGGTTTTGGAGGACAAGATTGTGATCACTATAGATTTTTTCCTATTTGCTGCATCAATGGAACTTGATTCATTAACAGAGCAATGCACAATTAGCTTGGTTCGAGTCCTTTGTTAATAGTACTTGCGAGTAATTTTGACGAAATTAGTCCCTTAAATAAAGTTCGAATATTGTTCTTTTAGAATAATAAATGGACGTATTTACATATATGTACAGAGATATGCATTCAGAACGCCACCTAATTATCACTTTATCTTCATTATATTTTCCCGTTATCAAATCAGTTTCTACTAGGAACGATGAAGAAACAATGTGCATGTAGCAGGTGAACTGCACAGAAAGTTAAATTAAGCTGCTAAATGTTTTAGAATGAAGGAAATGTAGTATTCAAAACCATGTAGCAAATAAAACATAACAGTCCCCTTAAATGGCAGTTCGCTAAGCAAGAGGGTAATACTACAGATATGCATTCATTCAAGAGTTAAATAACTAATAATAGTCTATAGTATAGTTCACTCTTCATTGTTTATAGCTGGCTTTATAGAGGTGGTCATGAATAATTGGTAGTATACACGAAACTTGGTTTCCTTGCTTATCGGCAGTCATTTCAACTGCTGAGAAAACTTATAGACAGCGCTCACAGACCACATTCAGAAGGTTGACGGGTTAACTTCAACAAGCTCTAGTAACTGCAACACTATAGCTTATGATAAAAATTTAATCATGATGTCTAGACTTACAGAAATTCCTTAATGTCCCTGTTTCTAAAGTGACAGCTCTTTGCTTGCAAGCGACTAGTGCTGGGAATTATACACCCTGGTTAGGAGGATAGTTTAACGTCCATGGATGAATTTCATTTATTTATAATAGTAGTAACGATGATCGTCTTATTCCAAATACATATGTGGTATAGTATGAAATTCTCAGCATGTAATATTTCAACAAATTTCCTTCCTGTACAATGTCCTTAAAAGAAATAATTATTGCATCTAAATAAGGTTAGTGGTAACAACAGTAACAGAAGAACTAATGTGAAATGACCAACTGGTTTTTCTCTGGCGTCAGGTCTGGATTCAAGAACGAATACAAAATCGCGTGTAATATTGGCGGAGTTAGTTCAGTCAGCCAGAACAAAAATCTGCAATTCCAAACAAGTATCCTAGGTATAGTAATATAATGTATTAACTTGAAAAACAACAATTCGAAAACAATTTAAAAATGTGCAAGTGTACGTGATACGTTCAGAAAACATATTCGAAAGATTTAAACAAACAGAAAGAGAAGAGTTTGATGAAATATATTCAGTGGAAAATTTTTGGGTGACTTTAAAGGCTACCCTAGCACCTGATGAGACAGCCGATTGCATTCCTTTATTTCATGGGAAAGTAGTTTTTCAGGCGAAACACCAAAGCCTAATTGGTTATTTCGACAGTTGCTAAGGTGACCTTTAAAGTCATCCAATTTTGGCAGCTCAAGATTAAAGCAAGATGGCATATCGCAACCAATAAGGAGCTGAGGAGATTATGATACACTCCATTTGGTATTGAAAAAAGTAAGGATGACAAAATTCTAGACATTTGTAACTTACACTTTATGGCATTCTTCAGTGCGGTGTATGTGAATCAGAGAGGAACCTGTTCTATCTTCTTAAACATTGGGGATTTTACAACAGAAAAAATATACTATGCACATAGAAAAAGGTTTGGAATGCAATTTTAAACTTATGACAGGCATGTTTAGCATTAAATACGTTGAGTAACAACTTCACTCACGAACTGAATTCAGCATCAGTATTCCTTGCTTGAACCCAGTGAAAACAATCACCAATAATAGTACCTCGAAAACGATTCAACTTCCCATTGAGACTCGAAACATGTTATTTATATTTTATTCATCACCAAAGTGATTAAGAAAGACTAATGAATGGTTGCCATGGCTTTTCTAAATGGCTTTCAGTAACCATATAATGAAAACATATAAACAAAGCAGCTATTCATCTTAAAGCACATGGACGTGAAGTTTGGCTAGAAGTAGTAGTATAATTTAGATTGCCTATTTAGTAGTATTACTAGCAATCATGAGAAGAACTTTTGACGTTTGAAAAAGACTGCTCAGAAAATTTCCAAATACTAAAATTCTAAGTTGGAATATTCAATATGGTTTCGTGTATTACTCAGGCTTGTTAGAGATAAACGGCGGTCGACCAATTTTTCTGATAGGTATAGAAAAGGCTGATAATAACGGTTCATTGTACTGCTGAGTTATTTTTGTTTATTAGATACTTGCAAACATCGCTGATGCTATACATACCTTAAATTTCTCAGTAGTAACGTCTCTGACTTCGGCACTAGGTGACACGTGTTCGAATCTCAGGCAGGACATCGGTTGCGTAAAGGTTGCTGGAGACTGTTAAAAAGAAGAAGACGTGGGTCTATGGCTTCCTGCCAAATTTCTTCATCCAACTTACATCTGTCTCACTGCATCGAGATGGTGAGTCTCTTAGCATGGTTGTCACATTGCAAACTGATCGACAGAACTCGATTACCACTTCGAATAAGGAACATGAAGTTGGTTACCCTCCAGTGACTAACCCATGAAATCTTTCTGTGTTTGTTGTATGACGTTAGATGGATAAAATTCCACTTAGAAAGCGGTTGTTTTCATATAGATAGTTCTGTCTGGCAAGTAAACAGGCGACAGAAGTGAAAACAGTTAGCTGGTCACGACTTCTGAAATTCAGTGAGAAGCATAACAAACTAGGATAAATGACAGTGTTTTAAGAAGTGTTTTTCTTATGCCAGTGAGATTCAACTTTTCAATAGTCTCAAGAACTGGTACTGATAATTAGAGGAACAGACTCAGAATTCATAAAGCATGGGTCTCAACTATGCACTTGCAAATCTGGACAGCTTTAACGATGTTTGCGTAAATCGTTTGGCTTTCGGAAGAGATAATGTGCGTAAACCACGTAATAACATTTGTACATAAAACTTGTATACATAGAAAAAGAACCATATCCTCACCGATACATTACTGGTAATAATTTTCAAGTACCACACAGTTAGAAAATAATGAACGCGATCATCTGACCTACTGCAAATGTTTGCTGACAAAGAATCGATAATTATGGGATTAGTATGGCTGTAAAGTAGACGTCTGAACTACTGGTTTCCTTATTCTTTTTACGCTCCCTTTTCATGACTAAAAGCTTAAAAGCGAAGTAATGTAACAAAGCTGGTTGAGTGAAGGTTTACCTGCATCTTTCAGCCATTCCGTTGTAACCCAGATGATACATTTTATGAAGTTCCAAAGACTGTCTAAAAAGGAGTAAAGTAACTTTTCTCCAGTGAGGATGCAGACCTTTCATGACTTCGTAAAACCAAACATAACAAACAGCTAACTAAGAACAACTGACTTTTATTTGAATCCTAAGCAATGCAATCCCTCTATGAGAGCAAAGACTGACGATATAAAAAACAGATCAACTATTTAAAGTTGATCTGAAAACAGCTTTTTACATGTCTTACTTGGGGCTGGAATAAATCCGAAGTGTTTATCAACAGTGCTTTAATAAGTATTGTATTTTCATTTCATTGTGTTCAGTTAGTGCCACAGTAGCAAGAGTACCCCTATGATGTAGGTACTTCCCAATGAATTACAATTTTCCATGTATGATCAGTGAAAACAATCGTTTGTAAAATATGAAGTGAGTTATTGATGATAATATTCAAGCATTTACAACTGACTCCTAAAATTAATGATAGCTACCTAAGTTCTGTCATGTGTTAGCCAGTCCAGAAGTGGAGTTTATCATGAAGTAAGATGATAAAATTAGCTAGAAGATAGGGGTGTTTTTGAAAGACTAATCAAAACACCCTCGACTTAACAAATTGTCATTAGGTTACATACATATTTTAATACTACCAGTCAAAGGAGGTTGTCACTGAAACTGAGTTCCTTACCGATTACTACCACTCATCCAGTACTAGAAACGTGTCTGCAGTGTGAATTTACTAAGCTTATAGGTCAAAGTGAAAGTTTTAAAATGGGTTTCAACTACCACAGTGAGGTAAATAAAATGAAGGTGACTCTAACCACATACACACACAAGCCAGTTAGTGTGAATTTTCCTTAAATTTTATCATCGAATAAATCAAATCAAACTCTTCTGGACACACAAACGTACAACTTTATAAACACTAACTTAAAACTCACTAGGAAGTGCTGTTCAATTAAGATTTAGACATTTAGATAACAAGCTCACTCATTTGCTATGTAGCCTAAAAACACTTTGTGTATTCACAGGATATCACATAAATGAGTGTCAAAAGTGTTTCGCTGAATAAAACCTGACGGATGCTGATTACTGTCTTATTGTAAAGCTGTTCTGATGATGATTTTTCAGAAGAAGAATAATTTGAGTAAACATGTGTTTTCAGCTGTTTTTCCTTTTCAGGCTGTGAGGTTATAGATCCATAAGAAAAGGGAAAATACAATAGCTAATGTAAAGTATGCCGTAAAATTATTCCAATATTTGAATAATTAGTAAAATGAGTGACTGCAGATGGGATCAAATTGACGTAAATTTTTCTCAGAAAAAAAAGTGATCAGTTTGGTATTAGATGTGCGATGTGATCAATATGAGCTGAAAAATAGTATATAAGGCAACAATCACTAATAAAAATGACTCATTTATTCATAAACAATTTCTGTCTGTGGTATTGTGTTTGTTTGCAAAGGGGAGAAACACCACTACACTTGAGCAGGGTGAAAAAGCATATGAACACAGTGACGAAATAACAAGATATTAAATGTGAAGTGTTACGTAAAGGTTGAGAATGCCTACTGGTAAACATGCTGATAAACAATGTTGTAAAACTAACGATGCATGGAAACAAATATTTATCAAGTAAATGAGAGGAACAAAGTAAAAGAATAGGATGGGAGGTAGAAATGCAAAACTTACGGCACAAAAAAGCATAAAAGATGTACTGACCCTACTGTAGGCCAGGTGGACAGAATGGATGAATACATTTTTTCAAACACCGATCATTCTACCTTGTTTTGTTTCATATAGCTTTGGCTATAGATAAGAGGCGTTGGCATACCTCTTTAATTAGGTCTCAAGTTCTCACGATGTATCACATAACATGCCTGACCTAACTTGATTTGATGCCCACCATTTACCAAGTGCAAAGGAAGTGCACTATTTATACATTTTGTCATTCGTTTCTCTGACCAAACTGGTACGTGTTCATGAGTTCACATGAATGAAGCCCTCTGAGTATGGCCCATGTAACTAGTTCCATACTAGCAACAGAACCCATATCATGATAATTCTGTTCTTATTAATTTCAACAAGAAATTCTCTCAAATTATAAAATGTCCCACTAGGAACAAAAGTAGTTAGAAACATTTCTTCATTGATACAAAGGAACGGCAGCCGCTGGTAATCAACTTATCGGAAAATCCCAATGCAGAGTTCTCATTATAAACGAAAATCAGCTGGATGACTACTTAAGACGTTGAAGTGATTAACAGCTATTGAAATCTATTTGAAGACTCCAGCTGAAACTGTATGAATGACTGAGTGCATGATGACGGCTTGAATTAAATATCAATCCTTTGTCTCAAAACAGTTGAAGTAAAATGTATTTTTTAAAAACTTATATTGCTAAATCTTGACTATACTTTCTGTGTGTATATGCACTCCCAATATAATGAATGTGTTACAGAACCCATTTAACCGATAGTTAACTAACAATTACAGAGATGATATTTGAAAGATATCTGATTATCCATCTGTTCTCATACTTTTGGTTCTCTGACACGTTACAGTTTAGTAACGTAGCTCATGCACATGCTAGGCCAGTCGAAACATGTATTCTGTCTACAGTTTGACTACAGATTATCTGTATCTTTATTCAATATAAAATAGAAAATATTAAATCTCAATAGGGACAGATTCAGAAGTTACCCTACATCGATATTTCGTGATTTGACCAAATAAACCGGCTGTGCATTTTAGTTCACTGGCAATAACCATTAACAAACGAAATATAAAACTGAACGCTTCAAGAATAATTCCTAAAATTAGTTCGACTCAAGGTATACCACACTCACTTCCAATCGATGCATTTCTTTTCTGTTCGCCTGTCAGCTTATTGAAAGATTCATTTTACCTTCAAACATCATTTGTTATCAATAACATCAGTCTCTACCAAGCCACTGTTATCTAAGATAGTCTCAATAATCAGCACGATAATTTCCTTCTAAGTCTTTTTTGCACTAGGATGATAGATCCTGATTGGACAGCCAGTATGACAACGATAAATGAACAGTTACATATCACAGATTCACACAATGACCGGGTAAACCTGCTTGGTGATTAAAGCGAAGTTCAGACAAGGTCAGATACTGGGTCTTGGAGCGCAGTCGGTAGAGCACTGGACAGGTAATTCCGAGGTCGCTGGCTGGAGTGATGTCCTGAGCCAGATTTTCACTTGACCTTGAGGCATCTACCGGTAATAATCCAGACTGTTGGCTTATGGATAACGAATATACATTTTATGTAGCGATAAATAAGGTGAATCATGCACAACACTTTACCAGTAATCTCTATTCCATTTGCCGTTGGTTACTTTTTACAATAATTTGTACTGTAGCCAATATTGTTTCATTGAATTTCCTAGCTGCACAGTTGTTTGTTGAATAAACTAACCAAATATACTACAGCCGAACAATATTTTTTAAGAAGTGGATGATGCACATTCACAAATAATTTCAATCGGTTGGAGGTCAAGTATAGACTAAGAGGTGGATGGAATACTTTTAACTGGCCCAAATATCTGTATTCACTATTTAGTGTTCAAATAATTAAAATTTGACTAACAGGCATGGCATTTAAGCTGACATTCTTGCCACTAACAAACAGGTTGTACTTTCCATGCCCAAAGGAGACTACATCAAGATAGTAGTATAGAATAGTATATTCTTCTGTAGATTTCCCACTACAGAAGGCGCATTTTAAAAGTTACCTCAAAGCAAGAAAAAGCTCCAAAACTATGAACTGGAAAAAAAGGCCAGCATTAGTTGGGATTCTAGCTTTAAAAGATGATATTTCCAATTTTTTGATGGGTGACGTTGAAGCGGCATGTAAATTACTTCGGAAATGCATACAATTATACTAGTGATTCATGTTGGGTTGAAAATTGAATGCATTTTGGAACTTTCACGAATTTAATTTCCAACACATGTTTCAGTGGTACAACCATCACGATAGAAACTAAAGATGCTGTATAGATTCAGTACAGAAGACATGACAATGGAATGTATGGAATATGAAAACATTAAAAAGATCTTATAGACTTCAAGATTGAAATTTGACCTGATGAAGTTGAACAAGTTGAGCATTTGGTAAATGGATTATAAATGAAATATATTTGTAAAATCTCAATGAGGTAGAAAAATAAATTTCTGAGGTTTCGTGACCTAAAGAAGTGACTTCATGAGGTCGCGAAACGTCATAAATCTATTTTTCTACCTCACTGGGGTTTTAGGAATATATTTCCTTTATATGTTCAAGCTTTTTGTGGCGTTTTGATAGCTATGAATTCACAATGAAAAGTCTCTTCAATATGACAAATTACAAAACTACTAATTTTGTGGTTAAAGTGTACAGAAACAAATTAATAACAACTATTTCATTTTGAACTTTACATGATCCAGGCTCATTTTTGACAGCTGTTATAAGGTAAACCCAACGATGTTAGATAGTGCTTTCATCTACAAAATCTGAACATAGAATATTCAATAGCAAATAGCATTCCTTTATGTAGTGAAAGAAGTAACCTGCAGTTATCGGATTACATAACTAACCCAGCTGTTGCTGACTATTTGCTTAACTTTTTCTACTCTTTATGTAAAGCTTCATAATCTACTAAAGAACATTTTAGATGAGTTATTAGTTCAGTAAGTTAATTTTATTGAAGAAAATTGAGGTTAAACATACTTTTAACGTCAAGTCATGTATATAAAGCAAGTCATAGATGCTTTTTCTAATAGCTGAATGATCATGTAAACTGATTACTAATTAAATGTTTAACTTTCTTCCTTCCGCTATCGTTCATGTACTTCACTGTTACCATGGTAACCAGTTGTCATTGTACAGTTATCTATACACAACTTATTGTTCACATCCCTTAACTTACCAAGATCTCTCGTTTAAAAAAAATTTGTTCAATGTAAAGAATATTGTATCAGCAAAGAATGAAGAGTTAGTTGATATATATTGGTTTAGCCTGAGTTTGTATATTCTGTACATCAAGTTGAACTTCACTACTAGTGGAGTTCATTATAAGGTGGAAAAGAATAAAAACTGTCCAGCCAGGATAGAAACTGTTACTTAATTGTGATATGCATTTATTATTCGTCCATGTAAGTTATAAAATAGGACCAACTGAGGTAAGGAAGGCGTATGTAAGGTATATTGAGCAACTAGTCATGATGACGTTATCTATTGTCCTCGTTATTCCCACCATCTGCATAATATATTTACTGATAGATGAGTATTTGTTATACTCGTCCATGTTTATCTTGTTCATATACCTGAAACTTTTACTTCGATTGCAGTGAAGCGACAACTTAAGTAGAAGGTTTTGTTATCTCAATAGTTAACGGTGGAGTGTTTGCTCTCAAAGATGTTTCAACGCTTTTTTCTTTTGTTGGTTTCCACTATTACTGAAGAGGATTCAGTAGCTGTATGAAAACATGGACAGCGGTTATCTCATGGTCAATCTTTTATAAGTGATATTGCAGGGAAATTCATTTTTAGGTGATATTCATCAAGCTAAAGTTAATTTCCTTCGGAATAAGAAGCATTAATGAGCGCTTAGTATATTCCATGTGAGAAAGGGTATTTCTACCAGATTGGTACAGCTAAGACACGAATGGGAACTAAATTTTTTTCAAAACTGAGGGTAAGTGGATTGATCACAAATTGCTACACTTTGAAGAAGCTAAATTGAAGTTTCATCCTCTACTGGTAGGAATGTTGCAGGAACAACTGACTATTTCAAAGTATATTTCACTTCTATTTAGTGAAACATCTACATTTCAGAAACGTTTCTTCTGATGTTTTTTTAATATTTTTTTGTTCACTGGTGAAATTTAAGATGCAACACTTTCCATTCATTTTAAGTCGTCACAACTGATTAATTAGTGAGAGAGAATTTAATGCATATCACAGTAATTGCTATTCAAAATAGAAACCAACTTCCACTTTTCTTACACATTTTCACACTGAGAACAGATCGTCTGGTATTCAAAACGAATGAATATTTCCACAGGAAAATGGATAGAGTGTTTAGTGAGTCTCAAAAACAAATGATTAACAGATTGAACATGATGCGTGTTGGTCCATGTGGTCTGTCGATAATCATGAAATCAATAAATACCAAAGCTAAACTAATACTTTTTCTCTTTAAAAAACAACCAGATATGAAGGTGTTTAGCACACCTTTGAGTATATCCAGTAGACTGATGTGCAAAAGCTTGCATCCACTTCAGACATGGCATGTTTTAAACAATGAAGTACTCAGAACCGAAAACTTGATGAAAAACCTTCCAGTTACACTTACCTGGTTGCTATAAAAGTGAAAAGAAGACGACGTGAATAAAGTCTTATTTCCAGGTTAAAATATTTACAAAACGCTTTTCATTTTCAAAATATTTTTATTGGAAGGATGTATCCAAGGGATTTCATAAATTTCATTTTAGAATTATTATTTTGAAACTTTGTAGTAGTCCGTTTAACTGTCAACATTTTCAGGAATTTCTTGTTGCGTTAACAGTATAATTGATAAACACCTGGCTTCCTAAGAGAGCTCTTATTTTATCATTATTAATAGTAGAGGAAAATTCATTACGATTGAACATTAGAAAAGTTTGAAAATTTTATTGGACTGTTAGAAATGAACAGTTAGTAGAATTTCGTTTCAGTAATTGTATATTTTCATTTAAATATACTTTAATGGCATTGACCACAACTTTAGTTTGAGGTTTTCTTGGTATTTATCTATTTAAGGATAGCATTCATCGCAAACTGAGGTCAGCTGGAGAAACACTGAAAACATGAGACCACTGAACAGCTTTTCGTCACAGTATGGGACTCCTCAGAA